TCGGAGTTGGGCCGGTCTCAGAGTTAGTTCGGTCACAGTATGTTCTAGGAAGGCCGGTTTCGGAATTAGTCCGGTCGTGACTTACAATGGTTAGGTCGGTCAGAACTTGTTACTTGGAAGTTTGATCTAAGCACATCAAGGTTGAACAGGGCAGCCGAAGTAAGGAGTTGGAGGAGAAGACCGAGCTAAGGATAGTTCGGCCCTCTGTGGCTCGGTATAGCCAATTTTACTTCGGTCAAATGGAAGTTCGGCCATAAAGAAAACCATCCCACTTGGTTTAAGCAGTGGGGGAGGGTGTAAAAGGATAAGCATTATCCTTAGGAGAATGAATCCTAGGAGGACTCTGCATGGAGAAGTACAAGTCCTACTAGGATTGTGCCACGGAAACTTATAAAGGCTCACAAGCATCACCTTGGAGGAGGTAATTGAACACAATCTTTCTGAGAACTTAGAGCTTTGTCTATTTGTCAAGTTTTCTGACTTAGGCATCGGAGAGGTTTCCGGCACACACCCGCCGGCTAGCTCACGTTTGTGTTTTCAGGTAACAAAGCGACGTCGTACGGAGGAGCGTGGACTTAGTCAACAGGATTATACGAGGAGAATTATTTCCTCCCCGTACAATTGGCGCCGTCTGTGGGAAAAACAGACAGAACAAAACCTCTTGACGTTAGTTAAATTAATATAGTTGTGATTTTTGAGATAAATAAAATATAAATACGATCATTGTGACATTATTATAAGAAATTTATTCTTTTCTTGCTCGGCATGTTTGTAGAAATTTAATGATTTGCAATCTTTTTATACAAAAAAAATTCAATTAGAATAATGTGACTGTAATTTGTTTAAATTTAAGCAATAATAGTGAGTGTTTTTTTGTATCATCACATTATTGTTTTTCGTATCAACTAATTGTCATGCATTTCATAATTTTTAAAGGGAAAATTGCCAGCTAGTTGTATTTCCATAAAATTATTACAAATTGATGGAAAAGTTTAAGATTTTAATTGTTAATATTTCTAAAATTTATCATTGATCTTTTTTAAAATATACACTGAATTAAAATGTTTCCATTTTTAAATGATGGGAGGCCGAGGTTTAAACCGGTTTGGTGGTTTAGTGCGGCTATTCCCATAATAATACGGTATGTATTGGTGGACAGTTGGGTGGGGCATAACCTAGTTTGCCTAAGGAACTCACAGATTAACGGTTGTACGGGAAACCGTAGTCCGGTTTCTATTATGGATTGAAGAGTAAAGGGGACGAAGCCTTCGTTATCCCAGGGTGTGATGTCTTTTGCGGCCAAAGTCAAATGGACGTCATCCGGTATGTTATAGTCCTTCCTGAATTCGGCCATCCCGCCAGGGGTCTCAACTAAATACCTATACTTACCCATTTGTTGTATAATTTACGGATAAGTTATTTCGGTGCAAAAATCGTGCTCAGTAGCTCGGTTGAGCGCACGCAGGAGTGCCTGGGTAACCTAGGTCTGCAAAGTAAAAAACAGAGGGGGTTAAAGCACTGATCAATGGACCGTGCTACAATTTACAAACAAGGTATAAAAGCCCTACTTCGGCCTCAAAGAACTGGTTCTTTCATCTGAAGGTCTGGTAGCTCGGTTGGAGCAGGTTGTTCGATAGACCGGTTTAACGTCTAGGGGCAGCTTTCTGAGTTCGGTCTAAAAAACTAAGAAAGCTGGTTTAGTCCCAAGGCCTAAATCGGTTGCAGTGTGAGGAAAGTTACTTCGGTTGGGCCCCTAGGGGCGGCTTTCTAAGTTCAGTTTAAGAACTAAGAAAGCCGGCTTGGCCCCGAAAGCTTAGCTCGGTTATAGACCGAAGTACCTAGTTCAGTATGTGCACGTTTGTTCGGTGATCTTATCTTGGCTAGAGTGGTTCAGAAGAAACTACTGATATTCCTACAAGTTCTAGTTCGGTTATTGGCTGAAGTGATCTACCAATATTGGACAAACAGTATCCTAGTCCGGTTGCTATGTGATTTTGGATCTAAGGCTGGTTTTCTACATAATAGTTCATACATACATGGGGTTCTACTGGTCTCTTCATAAAAGTACAAAAGCAAAGCAGACAAATGGAGAAAAATGTTTGCAAAAAGCATACAAAACAGAAACGGATGGTAAAACAAATAAAAAAGAGCAAGAAGGGTAGGCTTACTTACCAGATTGGAGAACAAGAAGCTGAAGATGGAGCAGTAGCAGCGATGAAAAGCACAGCTTTGGAAGCAAAAGAAATGAAGACAGAGAGAGAAGGTAGGGTATGTGAATACAGGTGAATGATTCAGAAAGGAAGGGGTGTTTTGTGAAATATGAGAGAGGGATAAGGAAAGAAAAAAGCGGGAACTGTTTCAAATTCACGAAGCACGAAGACGGCGTGACAGCCGTCCTTAGCCAACCAAAACATGCCACGTGTCATAAGAATGGGAAGCGTTACAGTCGCTGTGATTGAAGAGACGTTTTGACCGGACATAGTGATACCCGAGGTAAAATTAGCTCGGTTGGAGAGCCTGAGGGTTTTTCGCTCGGCTGGAGAGGCTAAAGGGTTTTTAGCTCGGCTGGAAAGGCTTAATAAACTATAGCTCGGCCAGTAGACTGATAATCCCAATCATGTTGCGCAGATGGAATTAAGGGGCAATTGAGAGGGTAATTTTTGGGAAAAATTAGGCCGAGCTGCGAGTTGGGCTTTGAGGCCCAAAACGCGAAGGACAGAGTAAAAAAGGCCGTAAAGGATACTCCGGCCCAGGAGAGCAAGGTTACTCCGGCAAAGTTACTCCGGCCCAAGGAGGTGTGACTACTCCGGCTCAAGAAGAGATAGTTGCGTCGGCCTAAGAAAGAATAAAGCTACTCCGGTCTGGAGGCAACTCGGAGTTGGGCCGGTCTCAGAGTTAGTTCGGTCACAGTATGTTCTGGGAAGGCCGGTTTCGGAATTAGTCCGGTCGTGACTTACAATGGTTAAGTCGGTCAGAACTTGTTACTTGGAAGTTTGATCTAAGCACATCAAGGTTGAACAGGGCAGCCGAAGTAAGGAGTTAGAGGAGAAGACTGAGCTAAGGATAGTTCGGCCCTCTGTGGCTCGGTATAGCCAATTTTACTTCGGTCAAATGGAAGTTCGGCCATAAAGAAAGCCATCCCACTTGGTTTAAGCAGTGGAGGAGGGTGTAAAAGGATAAGCATTATCCTTAGGAGAATGAATCCTAGGAGGACTCTGCATGGAGAAATACAAGTCCTACTAGGATTGTGCCACGGGAAACTTATAAAAGCTCACAAGCATCACCTTGGAGGAGGTAATTGAACACAACCTTTTTTGAGAACATAAAACTTTGTCTATTTGTCAAGCTTACTGACTTAGGCATCGGAGAGGTTTCCGGCATACACCCGCCGGCTAGCTCACTTTTGTGTTTTCAGGTAACAAAGCGACGTCGTACGGAGGAGCGTGGACTTGGTCAACAGGATTATACGAGGAGAATTATTTCCTCCCCGTACAATTGGCACCGTCTGTGAGAAGAACAGACAAGAACAAAAACCTCTTGACAGGCATCGGAGAGGTTTCCGGCACACACCCGCCGGCTAGCTCACGTTTGTGTTTTCAGGTAACAAAGCGACGTCGTACGGAGGAGCGTGGACTTGGTCAACAGGATTATACGAGGAGAATTATTTCCTCCCCGTACAGTTTACCTATTCATCCACCCATATTTGTATTCATTTTAATACTTTAAATCACAATTATTATTTATTTTTATAGATAGAAATATAAGTGGATGAATGGGTAAACGATATTTGATTAACTTAATTTTTTATAGACAAGTTCTACTTGATATATTCTAAAATATGAACGATTCAAATTATCAAAATAGACCAAAAAATGGACCCATTTCTGCAGCGCAGTAGCGTCCCCAAATCCCACTTTTCAACTACATGAACTAAAAATTATAGATTGAGCAAGTGAAGCAATGAACCCCACCCTGCCTCCGTTGTTTATCACCATCATTATTTCTGTAGATAAAAAATTGATCACTGAAAATACAAAAAGATGTTTTGAAAAGATTGTTAAAAGTTAATTTTTTAATTTTTTTTGATTTTTTATGTAAAAAATGATATAACTTAAAATGGGTTAAAAATTGACTTTTGACTTTTTATTCATGTTTCCAAATTGACTCAAGCAATAGCTCCTATGTACTGAAATATCATGTATAATAATATTATAAAATAATTCAAATTAGTCAAATTACACAACAATATTTAAGTATACTAATATATATTTTTTCAATAAAATTAAAGGCAACAAGATTGTCATTTCCAATCAATCAAATAGAGAGAAGAAACCGTGTTAAAAATAAATAAATAAAAAATAGAGAAAAGACAAAATAATTGATCTTGAAAAACAAAAAATCTTTATAAGCAATTAAGAATCTCGTGTTTTAAAAGAAATTTGCTTTTCTTTTAATATATTGCATGTTTTTCTACTTAAAAAAAAAATTCCATACTTCAAAAGAAATCTATTTTTCTTTCTTTGTTTTTATAAACTATTTACATATAAAATTTATATTAAAAAATCAAAAAAGTGATGCTATAAATAAAAAACATAAAAATGAGTGATTTATTTTAAAATGAAAAGTCCGCTTTAAATTACATCATTTTATCCAAAAAAATATGTATATATAATTTTTAATTTCAATTTAAATTTCTATTTTTATTTTTATACCATTCTTAAAAACAACATAATATTATAATATTTATTATGTCAATAAAAATACACTCACCACATTTTTACATCATGTTTTATTTATTATCAAATGTCACATACACAATAATTAATTGTTATAATGATTATCCGTACATGTCTCACTCATATCTATATATTCATATTCATATTTAACCATTAATAATCCTATGTGCTAATTAAAATAGTATAAAATTATTTTTTTTTAAACAGCTTTTTTTTTTTTGTTGTTGATAAATCTATTTTTTTGAACAATTTTAAAGATGTCAATTTATGAAAACCTCTCAAAAAATTTATATAATACTTACATAATTCTATTATAAAAAATAAATAAAAAAAACGAAGTAAGTTGAACCCACTACTTTAAGCATAGCTTCGCCCATGGTGAGAAGTCCTCTCTAAGCTGTTCACAAGTCTACATATCATATGTCTAGACTAAAGACACACAAAACTATTTGAACCAAAATTCTCTTCCCAGTCACCACCGACAGCTAATATGCATCGCCGATCCGATCTCGCCCCATACCACCACGCCGCTCATCTCGTCCCTGTTCCATGTACATATCCCGACGATAGTCCTTAGATGGTGCTGGCCCACCACCCCTAATTGGAGACCGGCTCCTGTCTCTCACATCATGTGCCCATCGGCCACGAGGCGGAGGCAATGGCGGCGGTGGCAGTGGTGGAGATGGTGGGCGCCTTTCAAATCCTTTTCTCTCGTTGAAGAAGTTATCCCTTCCACCGCGGTCCTTGTTTCCCCAATCCAGTGGCGGCATTGGTCTATCAAACTTGCTCCTCTCTCTATAATCTTCTTCAGGGTAGTCCAATCGATCTCTGCGCATTTGGTGATCAGTAAACCTGCCTCCATCATACCGTGGATGTGGAGGACCACCAGCCCCAAATTCTCTTGGACCGTCTCTGGCCCAACCACGAGGAGAGGATCTATAGCCATTCATAGACCTGCCCGAAGGACGATCCAACGGAGGACCAGGGAATCGGCGTGGGGGACCATGAGGAGGGGGTGGACCAGGATATCCCCTCCGTGGTGGTGGACTTCCTCCAGGTGCATAACGAGACTTGTTGCAATTGTTACAATACTCACGCCTCGCAAAGTTCAAGTTGTTGCATCTGAGGCATGGTAAAGAGAATGAGATATTGAAGGAAGATATACGACCAGATGAGGTATATAACAAAAATGCCAAATAGAAAAGAGACAGCAGCATCAATTCAAACTCTCCAAAGTATAATCAAAATACTATTACCATGTAAAACTAACCTCTTAAAAGTGCAAAGAAAAACACAACTAATCTTCAAAAAGGACAATCACACACACAACACACCCCATCAGCCAAAGATCAAGTCTGAAGATCCCAAATCTAGAAATCACCTTGATTCATGACTGATTACATCACAATAATTGTGGGCATAGGGTCGGTTTCCAATAAGCAACGAAATAAATAACTATATTTGTGTTCCTTCATGGTTACATAACATTACCTTTTGTTCTCACCGACATCATCTAGACCTGTTTTTTCTCTTTAAGAGAAGAACAAGTCTACCGTCTCTTATAATACCCTCAAAGTTGTTCTCACCAACATCATCTAGACCTGTTTTTTCTCTTTAAGAGAAGAACAATTCTACCGTCTCTTATAATACCCTCAAAGTTCTAAGTAAACTACTCATGTTGACAGAACCCAAACAAATTGCAAACACATAATCACATAAATGGAAACTGGAAGATAAGTGCACACAGCACCCATAGATTATAGTCTGCTAACATACTGTACTCCTCACTCTACATACAAATTTCCACCAGAATCCTAAGATTTATTAATAACTTGAAATCAAAATACTTACAGTCCAATACTAGTCAATTACTGATGGGCAATCAAGGATGTTCACAAGGGCAGAACTGAACATAAGTGGCAGTTTTACAGAATCAAGCTTGCCTCCTAAACACGTCTACACAAGTGTGTTTGTGCTTAAGCACAAGGTTCTATTGGCAACATCTATCTATATCAACACATGCCTCCAAACTCCCTACCAAAATAGATGAGCTCATTGTTCTACAAAGTATCAAGTTCTCCAAGCGATCACAGCTGTACTGCATTAACCTACGAGATGGTAGTATCAGGGATATGCAGTCCTATCTTTACTTAGCAAAAGGCGTAAGAATAAACTCCAATATACCAATTTAAATAATCAAAGGCAGAAATGGCAAACCAATTCAAGAACATTGAAATACAGGGCAAAGATAACCACGCAAAAGCACATTAGATTGCCTAATTGTACAAACATAAATGAATGAATGAAAATAGAAGTATGCTACTTACAAGGGATCTGGGCATATCCAATCTCCTTCTCTTGGCCGTACATTAGGATTATTTCTGGGCATTCCTTCTCCTCTAAATGCCCCAGGACCAAATCCAGGGCCATCAAATCCTCTATTCATAAACCTGCCACCACCTCCTCTCCCACGACCATAAGGGGGTGAATAGTCTCGATATCTACCAGGAGATCTCATACTGCCGTACCCGCGATTGCGGTGGTGGCCACCTGGATGATCAAAATCAGGACTGTAGCGGTGATCTGCATTCCTGCGGCGCACAGGAAGAACCAGAACCTGCACGAATTCTATACCCTGAAAAAAACCCAGTGATGTCCAAAGATAAGCAAACCCCTAGGCAAATCAGGAAAAAAAAACTATTAAGCATAAGGTCCATACGATATCCAATGGTACAAGACCCATGAATATGCCAATGACAAATTCAACTAAGTCCGCAAAAACAGAGTTACCATCATCCATGGTGTCTTGTCACGAGATACAAAAACAACACACTAAAATTGAAGACAGTATGAAGCTCACCCAATGAAACAGCCCTTACCATCACTCTTCAAGCTTCTAGATCAAGTTGCCAGAAATTATAACCGAAGGTATGAGCAAGTTAAACCATCGTTGTCCATACTTACCACATGACGAATGATCAAAATTCTCAAAACCCAACAGCCCTAAATTTGAGAGCCATGTCCATCTATCTTGTGAAGCATAATACGTTTAAAATTTACTTTTTTGCTTAAAGACATGAAAGTTCAACCCAATAATTACTGGATTCTGGAGCAACAAAACCAAAACCTAACGAGGCACCTTGGTTATTATCAACAACTTCACTCATATCTGCTACCTGCAGAACTTTACGGCGCATAGATCCCTAACAAATAAGAACGTATTACCAACATCAAGAATCCAGCAAATTTCATCCCAAAACTTCAGTTGAGAAGTGCCTGCCGATCATCAGAGCAGCAAAACAAAAGGACCAAAGCCCACAGTAACAAACAACCGACAAACCAACTGAATTGTTAATATTTGAAAACTCACACCTACCAATTTATCCACTTCACTTGGAAACAACCTCAGCCTTTTGCAAGAAGAGATACAAGTGAACATCCCAAAAGTTGCCCTTAGACTAGCATAAATAAACAACTCCACATAAGCCATACCGAGAACAAAACCACATTAATGGAATAGTTGGCAAATTCATAACATCAAAACCCCCCGCAAATTTATTCCTCAATCCTTGTTAATGTTCTGTTAGTGAAGATCCCACTTAACTAGGAAACATTGCAAATATTATCATCTGAAAGTATATATATCTGTAGTGATGTTTATTAATTCACCACCAATTGAACAAAAAAATACAAAAACCCACTGAGAAACGAGTAAAAGACATGCAAGAACATGGGTTACAAGTTCCCAATCTTCCATGTGCCCATACTAGAAATATTTTTTACCACCCAATTATACCCTATTTAACCCATCCTAAGAAAATATAAAAAATTGAAGGAAAATACAACCCCAAAAAACCAATCACCCTTGTATTAACACCTTGAAACCAAAAATCACCACACAAACAACTGTCAGTCATTGAGATCTAACAATGGCATCTCCACACATTAATGAAACTGACAGACCAAAAATCAAGCATTACTATCTTCAACAGCGAAGTGTCCTCTGCCATGCAAATTCCAGCTTCTGTTGAAGCGCATCCTGTAGCACTGGCACTATACTGAAATTTCCAACTAACAAGAGTCAATTCAGTGTAGGCATGCCTTACTTTAATACAACTATGAATTATGCCATCATACCATTACACTTATCCAGCAATTACCCATTAAAAGATGGCACATGTCCCAACACTTTTCCAGCGACCATCTCAAATTTCAAAGCAAGTTCCTCATAACATGTCCCTGATGGCAGGCAGCCAAATTAAAAGCCCACATGCAACTTGAAGCCTATACCAAAGTCCCTATTTCCAGAACATTTCCAAATAAAAAACCCCAACTATAGCCTGCAGTGAAATGATAGGTACACACTAATTTCAAGAGATATTGCACCACATCACTACATACATGATGCACAAATATCCATCGATGATATTTTCCACAAAAAAAATTTACCACTCAAAACCCAAAAATATTTCCCCCAAACCATTTCAAATACCAGCACTCACACTGACATGCCTTCCTCAAGACCCAAGTTCTTGCACCAGGCAACATTCAAAGCTGTAAAACACAATAGCAAATTTCATTCACAATTTAACACTCCATAAGCGGCAGTAGAACCACATGCTCAACAATCGACATGCAACACATAGTAAAGGGGTGTACAAAACCATGTGCAACATAAATCATTAGATGTTACAGATATACTAAATAATGGGAATACAAATCTGTCACTAAGAAGCACGACTAAAGAAATTCACATTCTAACTTTATATATATATATATATATATTAAAATAAAATAAAAAATAAAAACTAAGGTAAAAATCACAAACACCACTGACATTTGATGAAAATACACTAACATCCTGACATTTTCAATATATCAATGAGACCCCTTGACATTTGAATGTATCACCAACACCCCTGACATTTAGCAAAAATACACGGACACCCCTTCACATTTGGCAAAAAGATCATAGACACCTTATCATTTGTATAATTTAACATCATATATATTTATTTAAATTACATTTTTATAGTATTATTATCCTGCATTGCATACATCACAATATTTTTTTAAAATAACTTATACAAATAAATAAACTCATTTAAATTACACATATATTCATTTAAATTACATTTTCATAGCACGATAAGGCTAAAATTATTCTTTTACATTGCAAACGTCACACCATACTTTTAAAATCATTTTATATGCACGTACACATAGAAATATTATCACATACACACAGATATACATAAATAATTTAATTAATATTATCACATATATTTATTTAAGTTAAAGAAGGTGTCTATGATCTTTTCATCAAATTTAACTAAATGTCAAGGGATGTCCATGATTCTTCTTCTAAATGTCAGGTGTGTTTGTGATATATTAAAAATATCAGGGGATGTCCATGAGTTTTCTTCAAACGTTAGGGGGTGTTTGTGATTTTTACCCAAAAATCTATTTTTCTAAAGGTCATGTAAAGGGGTAAGGTAAGGTCTCAAATTCAATACCATAGCTAAGCAATTAAATTCCATATAAAACACAACATAACCACAAATCACAAACAGTTACCAAAAAGAATGTGACCAATCAAGTATTCATCAAATTTAAAAGGTTTAGTTTTGTTTCACATTGTGATCAAAGGTGAACTGTTGAAAAAAGTAGATCCACCACAAATAATGACATACAATCACTTCCAGGCTAGAAGAAATGCACTACCCAATTTTCTACAATCATTTGTGATGAAGAAAACAATTTGATGTAATAGCACATTCAAAATGATGGACTTGCAGAAGCCCATTGCATAATTCTGTCACAATAGCATGAGCCCCCCATTGTAAACATTATGTCACCCCTAGCATGAGCCCATTGCCCTATTCTCAAGCAATCATTGACTTGATAAATTATTGACCATATAATGACCATTCCAAAAATATTTTCTACCAATTCCCTCAACAAAAGTAAAATGAGAGGAAACAAAGCTCTAAGAAAACCACGTTTAATGCTAAGTCACATAATTTGCTGGACAGGAAGCAAAATTGAAGAGAGATGTGTAGATTATTTGCTAGTAAATTCACATTAAGTTTGAGGATTCAAATTTTAAAGTCATGAATTTTGTTATGATGATGAATCGCATCAAACTCAACTTTCCAAACTAATAGCAGCCATTGTGGTTGCACGCTACGCTGCCCTCCCATTTCTACCCATGTATTTGTATACAATTCTTCTTGACTCCCATTACTTGTTTGCATATATAAGCATCACATGTTGTTACATATGTTGACAACAGTCCATAAGTATACACGGGATACATGGCTACTACATATACACAATAGCTAGGTAGAATAAATAAACACATAGATGCTACAAGCACTCCAAACTCCAAAAAAAACTTTAAAAATTGCATCATTAGGCTCTTGCACACCTCATACTTTGAGTTGGATTAAAACATGGAGTTACCCTCGAAATACATAACTACATAAGCCAAACACAATAAATCACAAAAAATGGGCATCTAGACTTGCAGAATTATTTTCCCCCATGCTTTGGAGAAAATGACAAAACTACCATCTATTACATGTTCTATAGACCAACAGTTTCTATGGACCAACAGTTCAGCTAGATTTTATGTCACATCAATCAGTCTTCCAATATTGTGCCCCTGTTTGGTTTTGATTAAAATAGCCACGTTTTGGCTATTTCAAAAAAAAAGAAAAAAGAAAAAAGAAGCTCGTTTGGCAATTGACAACAGTGTTGAAGAAAGGAACAAAAAAAGGAAAGAACTTTCCCACTAATAAAGAAGCAGATTTTTTAGCATTTGCCAAAATGCATCACCCTTTTTTAAAAACTATTTTTACCTCAAAAAGCAAGAAAGCTACTAAAAAAAGTTTGCCAAACCCCCTCCTAAATATGGTTGTCCCAAAGGTCAAAATTCATGGCAATCAGTAAAATGAGTTTATAATGCATAGCAAGGAACCATGAGAGGAATGAAACATTTATAAATGTATGTCTTGGCGTGCATACAGAAAAAGTGCCTTCAAAGGTTCAACCCTTTAAACAAAACCAATTTTGAGGAGAAATATACATGAACAAGGGACGCATCCAATTCCAACACAGCTTGAAACAAGACACCCAACTCCACATTCACCTTAGGAAAATCAAGAAAGCTGAAATAAGAACATGACTATTTCCAAACTCCTCTACACATCACACACCATACCTACATATCTATTTGCTTGCGATTTTGTATCAATAGTAGGTGTTTACACACACATATATGTATATAAATATATGAGCTACAACGAATCTACCAATCTCGGATTCATGTTACCCTAGAATTATCGATATAGGGTTTACCAAAATGCTAAGAAGCTAAACACACACAGATACGGAAACGATTCAGAAGCAGAGATGAGTTAGGGAAAAGATAATAACAATACATATATAAGATGTAGAAGCAAAGACAGACCGGGGTTATCGGAGAATCGATCGGAGCGAGAATACGGAGGCGGATCCCGACGAACCTCGCCGGGCTCGTAATCGCTACCACCACCAGCTCCGCCGCCGCCGCTGTCCGACGGCCGTACCACCAGGCTGCTCAATAGAGGCTGATGCGGCGTCGTCTGATCCTTCTCTCTCGTCCCCATTCTCTCTCTCTCTCTCTCTCTCTTGTCTCTCGTAGTTTCGAGTATACAAAAATGTCGAATGTGTAAACCCTAATAACTGGGTTGTGGTTGGGCGTAAATGTTTATTTCACTTTGCGCACTCCAAAGGTCGTTAATTTTACCAGTTAATGACGGTATGTTATAGGCGAAACGAACACGGAATAGTAAAAATTTTACTGTCATTAGTACCATTTTTTTCAAAATTTCAACTTGTATGGTTGCAGTTTTCAGAAAATTTTATTTTTTTATTTTTTATATTTTAATATTTTCAAAGATTTTTTTTAATTTTTTCAACATTTTTTTAAAAAATTTTAAACACACCTAATATAAATATACTTAAAAAATATAATAATTGTGAAAAAAATATTTAAAAAATCACTAAATGCCAAAAAATATTAAAAAAATACAAAATTTTAATATACTTTTGTATATTTATTAATTGAGAAAATTATTTATAAGTCCTATTAAGGAGACTTATGCTACATATGGTCTTATTAAAAAACTTAGCCTGCGTTTGGTTGTGTTTTGTAAATGTGATTTGAGAGTATGAGTTGTATTTTGAGTTTGTGAGTTGTAGAATTATGATTTGAGTGTAGAAAATTTGTTTGGTTATGGTTTTTAAATAGAGTGTTGCATTGTGTTTTAAAGATATATTTTGAATTAAGTTTTGAAAGTTTGATGTGACATGTGAAAGGTGAAAATTTGTTTGGTGATGTGTTTTGAAAATAATTTTCAAAACTTAATTCAACTAATAATTTATCATCAAACACACAACTCATATATCGATATCCATATTTTTTATCAACAATAATAACCAAACTATTTTTAAAATACTGAAATTAAAAATTGATTTTTTTTGTCAATTATTTTTTTTAGTAATTTTTTTGAATAATTGTTGTTTCGAAATAATTTTTTCATTTTAAAATAAACCGATGTCAATCTTTTTCTGCCAATTAATTTTTCTATCAATATCCATATTTTTTATCAACAATAATAACCAAACTATTTTTAAAATACTGAAATTAAAAATTGATTTTTTTTGTCAATTATTTTTTTTAGTAATTTTTTTGAATAATTGTTGTTTCGAAATAATTTTTTCATTTTAAAATAAACCGATGTCAATTTTTTTCTGCCAATTAATTTTTCTATCGATATCCATATTTTTTATCATCATTTTAAAATAAACCTATGTAAATTATTTTGTGTCAATTAATTTTTCTATCAATTTATTTTTTATGCCTGTACAAACATCTTGTAAAATACGTTTTTAATTTTTTTCTAAAATAATTGATAGAAAATCTGAATAAAATCTCACCTTTCTGAACCTTTTGAACCTCACCTTTCTATAAAATAATTGATGCCAGTTCATCTTCAGAGAGGAGGACAACCGGCCGGTCATCCCCAAGGTCTACCGCCCGGTCATCCCCAAGGTTTGGTGTTCATGTGAAACAGAGACGATGGAGGAGAAGGACATGGAAGCTTTTCAGAAACGTTGAAAGTGGAGATACAAGCTGCCAAACGGATTTTCAAAATCTAATTTGAATTAACACGCTGAATCAACTTTTGAACATCCTATCCAAACGTGAAACGGGAGTTCACGTGTAGAATCACGTTTTGAATTCACAACCAAACACAGCCTTATATTCTCATAAGTCCTGTGAAAAGTTTGTTGACACATTTACCCTCAATATTAGTTGTTAATATCATAAATAATAATAAAACCATATATAGAAAATTGAATGTTACCATAGATCATATCTATATAAACGTAGCGTAACGTGACACCTACATAAACGTAATGTGACATATTTACATAAACGTAACGTAACGTGACACCTACATAAACGTAACGTGACACCTATGATCTATGATAACATTCAATTTCCTATATAAGAAATTGAATGTTATCATAGATCATATCTACATAAACGTAACGTAACGTGACACCTACATAAACGTAACGTGACACCTATGATCTATAGGAAATTGAATGTTATCATAGATCATATCTACATAAACATAACGTGACACCAATATAAACCAGCAACATTTTCACATTCAATTTAAAAAAATAAAAAACTCATTAAGTTTGCAAAACGTAACGTGACACGTTACGTTACGTTTATATAGGTGTTACGTTACGTTCATGTAGGTGTCACGTTACGTTACGTTTATATAGGTGTCACGTTACGCTACGTATATATAGGTGTCACGTTGCGTTACGTTTATGTAAGTGTCACGTCACGTTATATTTATGTAGGATCTTGTGAAATACATTCCTATTTAAATAGGATTTGAGACTCTATAAGAAATTACACAGGACTTAGCCTAGCATAAGTGACTGAAAAATGACTTATAAATAAGTCTACCTTATTAATTTTTTAAAATATTTTTTCACAAATATTTTACTATTTAGATACATCTAAGTAAGGTACATCTAAAAAAATAAATAAAAAATTACTTAAAATTTTAAAAATATTAACTAAAAACTAAAAAGTACGAAAAAAAACTCAATTTTCAGAAAACTGAATTTAGAAAATTAAAACCAAACAACTGAAGACCTTTTTTTTTTTATGAATCATTATCCTTAAATATGCACTTTATAATTAAAAAAATAAAATAGTATGATTTTATATTTTTTGAGTAATAATTAAAAAAATTATAATTAAATATAACATGAGATATAATTACAGATCTCATAAGTCATAACTAAAATAATGTTATAACTAAATAAAAAAATTTATCATAACTAAAAATAAAATAACATAACTAGAGAGGCATGGTATACCCTTTTTACAGGTGTACATATTGGATTTTTCCTCTATTTATAAAAACATTATTGGGTAAATTATAAGTGTGATTTCTTAAGAATTAATTACTGGTTTATGAAATTTTTTATATTTTTAATTGTTAAAATTTATAACGTTTCTGATTAATTTGAGATTTCTTTACAATCAAATATTGAACTATTATTTTTCCAACATTATTATAAGGAAAATGATATACAAATCTACTTTTTAAACTAATTTTATAGACCCAATAATATAGGGAAAATTATTTATAAGTCCTATTAGGGAGACTTATGCTACATATGGTCCTACTAAAAAATTTATATTCTCATAAGTCCTTTGGGAAGTTTGTTGGCACATATACTCTCAATATTAGTTGTTAATATCATAAATAATAGTAAAACCATATATAGGAAATTGAATGTTACCATAGATCATATCTATATAAACGTAACGTAACGTGACACCTATATAAATGTAATATGACACTTATACATAACGTGACATCTATATAAACGTAACGTGACATGTATGATCTATGGTAACATGAAATTGCATGTTACCATAGATCATATCTACATAAACGTAACGTAACGTGACACCTACATAAACGTAACGTGACACCTATGATTTATGGCAACATTCAATTTCCTATAACTTTAGGTAATTTATATTTAATATACATTTGACTACCATTAGTAGAAGTTAATTTCTCATGACATTTTTCATAATATTTAGTAGGAAGTAATCCTTCTTGTATACAATTTAAATTAGCATCAGTATCAATTAAAGCAATTAAGTCTAATTCAAAGTCTTCAACAACGATTTTAATTTTTGAATACCACTTTTGGATGTAAATTTTATTGATTAGATTTAATCGTTTTTCTTCAAGGTTATGAGAGCGATTGTCAAATAAAAGTTTATCTCGATTAGTATGATCAGAATTATGGTCAGATTCATGAGGTGATCTATTAGGATTAGGTTGGAAATTATCTAAACTTAAGTTTTAGAGTAATAATTTCATTTTCTAATTTTTTGTCTTTTTGGTGTAAATCTCTGATAGTTTGTTTAATTTGGTTGATTTCAGATTGTAAATCTTAAAGTGTAATGTCTTTATTTTTATTTTTAAATCTTTCTAAAGTCTTAGATAGACTAATAATAGGTTTATCAAACTTAGGTTTATTATCTGAATGAATTAATAAAGATCTTAATTTATCAATGTATTTTTGTTTTAAATTAGGATCATCTAACTTGCTAATTAATTCAATTAGAGCAGATTCTTCTTGATTTTGTTTGTAAGAACAGTAATTTGGTTAACTGGCTTGCAGCAAACATCATTACATCCTAATGTTATATTATTATTATCAGAGTCAGAATCAGTATTGGTTGAATGATCATCAGAGGAAGTTTCCGGATTATCAGAAAATGAATTACTAACAGAGTGGTTTAATTGAAAGATTTCAAATATTTGAATCTTAGATTCATCAGTTATTTGTAATTGATTAAACTTGTCTTTTAATTTTTGTTTTTCTTTACATTTATTCGAATAATGACCTTTTTGTCTACAATTATAACATGTTATATCTTTAGTAGATTTAGATTTTGGATGTGATTTTTTGTAATATTTCTTTTTGGGTTTAGTATAAAATTTATCATTGGATTTGGAAGGTGAATAATTCTTTTTATATTTATTAGAATATTTAGATTTATATTTGTTCTTAGAATATTTATGTGATTTCCTACGAGAGGGTGCTACTGGAGGTAAACCATATTGTTCACAGAAATTGCCTAACTCATATTTAGCCTTATGTTTATCTTTAGTGGCTTTTTGACTAAGTTTAAGATCAATACACATTTTTAATCCTTCTTTTTGAATAGTGCTAATTATATCGCCATAGGTCAAATTATCATATTCAACAACACCAGTACGTTGACTAAGAACATCTCTAATTTTGTGTGCAAATAAACTAGGTAATCCATTAATAAATTTTTATTTCCAAAATGATTTAGTACAGTCTTCTCGTAACATAACTCTAGAGATAAAGACATCTTTATACCATCTAAAATCACTTAAGGTTGGACAAGTAAGATTACTAAGTTGATCATGTATGCGAAAATAAATATTAGTAGGAGTACCAATAAAATGACTAACAATCGTATAGATTAATGCATTAATACCATCAGGGTGACAACATCCAATATTTTCATCAAAGATAGGCAGACCATTATCATCAATTTGATTAGCATAAATTATGGATTCTCGTTGATC